TTCTGCCGCCTGCCTCGCCTGCCTCGCAAGCTCAAGGTTCCGAGTTCCATCTCTCTGGTACCAAAAAAAAAAAAGAAAGAAAAGAAAAAGGAAATGCAGCTACTCTCTACGAAGTTCCTGAATCTCCAGGAATTTATAATGCAGATTAACCAGTTCTTCTAAGGTCCCAGTTTCCTGTAAACCCTACATACTGAGTAACTGGGTTAAAAGCCTGAGTCCCAATTGGTCATTTTAAATCCACAGGGCCATCTGTGGTAGGTGACCACTGAACAACTGAGCAATCTCTGTGCTCTGTTTACCTATAACTAGCTCTGGATGAGGATGCGGGTGTCCAGCCACCCATTTGGACCCCTCCTGGAAATGGAAGGGCTGCTCTTATTTCCAATAAAACTCTCCTAACCTCTTCCTCCTTTGACTCAGGACTTCATTTTTTGATGTTTGTAGAACCCGGAACTCAGGACACACCAGTATCAGTACTCTCTTTAGAGAATGATACTGAAACCAATGACCATGTAAAAAATAGAAAGGAAAAAGAAAAAAGACTGGATCACATATGGCCTCATATAAAAAAAGATTAACTCAAAATGGAACATGGATCAAAAAGACCCAAAGGTAAGCTAGGTGCAATAGTACACACCTGTAATCTTAGCTACTCAGAAGGCTGAGGCAGGAGGATCAAAAGGTCAGGCCAGCCTAGGCAATTCAGCAAGACCCTGTCCCAAAATAAAACATAAAAAGAGCTAGGAATGTTGCTCAGTGCAGAGTTAGGAAACTGTTTCTTAGATAATACTTACAAAGACCAAATGTTTTTAAAGTTGTTTAATTAAACTTTATCAAAATTAATTACGTATCATACCCACCCACCCCCACCCCCGTGCTGAGGATCAAATTCAGGACCTTGTACTTGCACTTGCCAGGCAGGGGTGGCACACTGAGCTACATCCCCACCCCAATCTATCTATCTATTCATTTAATTTTGTGGTACTGAGGACATTTCTAGTTCTCCTGGTTTGCTTTTTTTTAAATTTTGAGACAGGGTCTCACTAATTTGCCCTAGCTGGCCTCAAACTTGCCATCCTCCTGCCTCAGCCTCCTAAATGGCTAGGATTACAGGTGTGCACCATAGTGCCTGGAAATTTTTCTATCTTTAAAAATAATGAAAGAATGGGGAAAGAGCCACAAAATGGCCAAAAAAATGTCTGAAAAGCATATATCTGATAAAAAGACTTATAGCAGGCATGGCGGCACACTCCTGTAATCCCAGCACTCAAGAGGCTGAGGCAGGAGGATTACTGTGAGTTTGAGGCCAGCCTGGGTTACACAGTGAGTATAAGGCCAGCCTGAACTACATAGGTAGAACTTGTCTCAAAAGAACAAACAAAAAAGCTGCTGCTGCTTTTTATAACTTTATATTATTTTTTAGAAAAAGGACTTGTATGTCCAAGAAAACACTTTCACCATTTAACATTAAGAAAACAAAAATAGGGCCAGGGATTTAGCTCAGTGGTTACGCTGCCTGCCTCACAAGGTCCTGAGTTTGATCCCCAATACCAAAAAAAA